ACCTTGAGCCGCCAGCTGGCACCCCGTCTCTACCATGGTCTGTGACTATGGTCTTAATACATGATCTCAAGCAGAACGCGCTGCCCTCATTCAGCTAACAGACTGGAAGACACATCCGGGACGATTCGCCCTCAAATCCTGTTTCAACACCGAGAGCTCTTCCTGCTGGGGCTGTCACCAAGGGCCTGGGGGCTTGGTCTGGGCCCTGGCCGCCTGGGGTCCGCAGTGCTGCTCTCATGAGAAGCTGGACAACTGGTGCCCACCACTGGGTGGTGCCCCTCCCCTGCAGGTGCTGACCCTGCTGCTCAAAGGGGAGCCCCAGCTCCAGCAGAGGCACCTCGGCAGCCTACCAGCAGTGCCCGGGGCACAAACCCACACCTTTGGCCTCAGCCTGTGCCTGAGTGGTGGGGTGCCAAGAGGCCCAAGTTCAGAGGTTAGCAGAGGGGCCAAATGGGCGAGCCACGCCCACTCAGCCTGTGTCTGGCTCTGGCGAGGCTGCGGCCATGCATGTCTGCCACCTCCCTCCCCTCCAAGGTACCTTTGCCATGTGTGGTCTGGGCAGCGCCGGCTCCATCTGTAGGAGGCTGGATGACATCTCAGGGCATTCCCCATGCAGACCAGGGGTCCCAGCATAGAGGTTCCTGGAAAGTTGTTGGCTGGAGCTCATTGGATACACACATGAAGCGCCTACTGTGTAAAGGTGACTTGGCAGACGCTTTGCATGATTCACTGAACAGAGCAGAGAAAAAGCCCTGCCCTTCTTGGGGGCTTCCATCCTAGCTAAGTGCCAGCAACCCCAGTAGACACCACGGACAGGCAATGAACAAGCCATGGCAGGTGCACCCCTGTGGATTCAGATGCCTCCTCCCCTGCTGGGGTGGGGCAGCTGACCAGGAGCCAACTGAAAACATGCTGGGCTCTGGGTCAAGGGCAGGGCTGGCAGAGTGCCAGTCTCCACACACTGTAGATCTGCTAGAGGGCTGAGGCCTGGGGGCATCCTCTGCAGGAGGACCCCACGAGAGTCCACTCCCCACCACAGGCCTCTGCTGTTCACCGCTGAGCAGAGAGGACCCTTGATTGGCCTGGACAAGCCTGCCCACACCTCTATCATGCCCAGTGTGCAGAGGCGCCAGAGACCCACCACTCCTGAGAACAGCATCCTTGGGAAGACCCAGCTGTGAGTGTGCAGCAGGCACAGCCCCTCTAGGCCCAAGTGCAGATTCAGCAGCAGAAGGGATTCCACGCCCACATCCATGGCCTCTTCAGCTGCCCACAGGCCCTACAAAGGCTACCCTGAAGGCAGGGAGGCGGCTGAGGACAAGGCTCTTTGCCAGCCCTGCTTAGCGGCCAGCCCAGCCCAGCCATCCCCTCTGGGGACCCATAGAAGGCACAGGCCACTGGCTCTGCGGCCCATCACCTGGAGAATGGGCCAGCCCCAGCCCTGCCTGGAGGCCCTGGTGAGCTTGCCCAGCACTGCTCCAACTCCTCCTGAGCCCACAGGGCAGAGCCAGGGGTGGCCACCTAAGCCTGAGATGAGGGGATGGGGCTGGTCTACAGGGAAGGCAAACCAGACATGGACTCCTGTCAGCTTAGGTGTCCCAGCCTAAGAAGGCAGAGCCCCCAAGAGAGGAGGGTCATGGCGCCATCCTGAGCTCCCAGCAGGCCTGCTGCAGGTCAGAAGGGCCACATCCCATCTTGTCCCTGACCTCACTGGGCCTCACCCGAAAACAGTCACCTGGGCAGTGGCCATGAATAGCCAGGCCACGAGGCTTGACGGGGTGGGCCCCAGGTGACAGGGAGGGCGCTCTTTATTTCTGGAAGGGCCCTGGAGCAGGAGGCTGGCTCTCGTCCTCTCCTCCGCCCATCCTTCGGTCCTCTCAACAGGTGCTATGGGGCGGAGGTGGCAGCAACAGCCTTCCTCAGCCGCTGTAGCAGCTCCTCGGGCCGCGGTGAAAACACGCTGGTGTCCACTCTTTGGAAGTCAGGGTGCGCCACCAAGGAGGCCAGCACGTCTGTGATGCGCCCAGCATCAAAGGCTGCCTGTTCGAAGCCCAACCCAGCACCATCCCTGGCGGCCGCCTCCCCCAGGACCAGAAGCCTCTTCTCAGCAATGATCTTGAGGAAGTGGTAAAACTCTGTGAAGTTGATGCCTGAGCAGGACCTCATGATGACCTGGGCAGAAGGAAGAGGCCAGTGAGCTGCGGACGCAGTTTGGGCTGCAAAGGACCCGACATGCGCTCATTCCCCAAAAAGGGAGAGAGGACCAGTAAGACAGAGGCACTGAGAAGCCGGCGGGGAACAAGGGCGTCTGAGCCACACAGCCCGAAAGCCTCCCCGGGGCCCACCCCAGGCTACTCCACACTCTCACAGCCTGCGCCTACCCACAGCTGGGCCTGACAGCCACACCCACCCCGAGCCTGCAGGCCTCACGAGGACCTGGCCCCAGCGGCCTCCGCCCACAGCGGCCCCACCTGGCAGTGGTGGTGCCAGTCCGGCATGGAGTCCCTCCACTCGCTGATCTCCTCCTGCACGGCACGCAACTCCTGCTGCAGGAAGCGCCACATGTTGGCCAGGTTGAAGCCATTGACCCAGTTGTGGTTGATGGAGATGGTGTCATCCTGGAAGGGGCACGGTGCAGGCAGGCCTGAGCCCACGGCAGGTGCCCCCCAACCAGCCCACACCTCCTGCGCCAGGAACCCACTGTGGGGTCCCGCCCTCTGCAGCCAAAAGGGCCCTCCTGTCTCCCAGCAGGGCTTCCTCAGCAGGGAAGTGGGTATCGGACTGGGACCACCTCAGGCCGCACGCAGTGAACTCAGAGCAAGCAGATCCAGGGACCAGCAGGGGGTGAAACAGAGGCTGGGCCTCAGCGATGCCCCGTTGTGAAGAGACTGGCCTCACCCATGAGCCACCCCATCCCAGTCCCGCTCTGGCTGGGACAGTGGGGAGGAGGCGATCCTCCTGCAGGAAGGCCCCCGACAGGAGCAGGAGAGCAGCACATCCTGGATCCAGGCCTCAGGGCGCCTCACCGCCTTACCAGGTTGTGCACCTGGTGGTGCCAGCCACTGGGCACAAACAGCATCTCGCCCGCCTCCTGCGTGACCTCCAGGGGTGGGCAAGCAAGCCGGCCCCGCGGGTACAGGTGCGTGTCGCAGAGTGCCGGGGAGGTGACGTCGTAGGGCAGGCTGCCGTGGCGGTCCCGCAGAGACTCCTCCTGCCCTGGGGGGAAGAGGAGCCACTTCTTCCTCCCACAGATGTTGACGGACCAGCTGAAGGAGCGGAAGATGTCAGCGTGGAATGGGGACCTGCAGCAGCAAGAGTGCCTGGTTCGTGCCTGCAAGGGCTGGTACGGGCTTTGCTTGACACCCTAGAGGCCTCCAACTGAAAGAGGGGTGGCCCCTTGGTCTTGAGGCACCCACTATGAGGCCTGTGCCGAGCAACCCCCTCTGGCCACCCTGAGCCTCCCAGCCTGCCACCCCCAGATCTGTGGTCTCACCAGCTGCCTGCAGGCCCTGCGTACACAAAGCGGTAGTCGTCCACCGCCAGGGCGTCCCAGAACTCATTCAGCCAGTCAGACGAGAAGTACACCGGCAGGGTGAACACGTCCTCCGCCGCCGCCGGGAAGTCCCTGTGAGGAGGGTGCGGATGCACCGCCAACCGCGCGTGAGACACGAGAAGAGCAGGGCGGCACGAGCGGGCACCCGAGACCGCTCAGCTCCAGTGCCACTGCCAGATGTCTGCGGCCAACGGGCCCCAGCACCTTCTCTGAGCTGCTGCTGCTGCTGGTGAGGCAGGGGGGAGATAGTCTAACGACAATGGGTCTGCTTATGAAAAAGTACTGCTCACGCCTATCATCAGTGTTCGGAGAGGCTGAGGTGCATGCATTACTTGATCCCAGGAGTTCAAGTCCAGACAGGGCAACATGGGGAAACTTAAGTCTCTTACAAAAAAAAAAAAAAAAAAAAAAAAATCAGCTGGGCGTGGAGGTGCATGCCTGTAACCTCAGCTACTAGGGAGGCCGAGGGTATCCATCTAAAAAAAGGAAAAAACCCACCCCATGAACCTCCCGAAGAACAAGATTTGCACCCATGCCGAAGACCACCCAGTTTCTTTTAAACAGATTAAAGTACTTCCCGGGGAAACACAGCTCCTCTGTGCCGCCGGGCGCCTCCGTGAGAAAGGCCCCTGGGTTCCCGCGCTAGGGGCGGCAGCACGTCTGGATGCGCCCAGCGTCAAAGGCTGCGTGTTCGAAGCCCAACCCTGCACCAGCCTTGGCGTCCCAAGCCCCATTACCTGCAGAGGTGCCAGTCTTTGAGGTAGAGGCAGCCCCGAGGAGAGGAGTAGCCCCCCCGGATGTACTCTTTCCAGTAGGTGATGTAGTCTCTGAGGGGCATGTGCTCTTTGGGGTTCGAGTTGTATTCCTGGACCCCACAGTTTGCCACTGGGACAACCACGTCTCCTGGAATGAAAGTCGGGCCCGGTCCACGCCAGCTCCCGGGCCCCGTCCTCACTCCGCACCGTCTGCAGAGGGGGCTCTCCAGGGCCCCGCGCCCGGCCCCTCGGGCTCCCCGGCGCCCCTCTCCGGGCGCGACCTCCCGGGCCTGGGTCCCCGGGCCTCCCCTCCCCGGCCGGGGTCTGCGTCCGCCGCCCCACCGTAGGTCCGCAGCAGGTGGTCGAAGTCGGGCCTCCCCGCGGGCGTCACCCAGCGCCGCCGGCTGCCCCAGCCCCGCGTGAAGGCGCTGGAGAACACGCAGGGCAGGTTGGGCAGCAGGAAGCCCCGCACGAAGTCGGCGTAGGAGAAGGCGCCCGGATCCGAGACGAAGGCCACGCGCGCCGGGGCCCGGCCGACGCCGGGGACGCCGCCCCCCGGGCCTCGGAAGTGGCGGTCGGCCAGCGCGCGCGTCTCGCGGTCCATCCCGCCCAGCTGGGGCCGCAGGACCCGCTCCTCACTTCCGCCGGAGCGGAAAGCGCGAGGACGAACCTCGGAACCAGAAGCCGCAAGGCGCCGCGTTTCCGCCCGACCCGCGCCGGGGACGCCCGCCCTGCGCGCCCGCCCTGCGCCTGCGCGCGGCTCGCCGCGGTCTTCCCTGCGCAGGCGCAGAGCGGTGGCGGCGCCTCGGGTCCGCTCCGGGGCGAGTCTGGCGTCCCTCAGGTGAGCGACGGCGCTGGCCTGCTGGGGCCCCGGCCCGGGCACTGGTGTCTGCCCTCGGCTCAGTCCGCGCGCTGTGGCTGACGCAGCCCGAGCCCTCCTTCCCACATCCCTGGCGGGGGGCGGGGACAGAGGCGGCTCTGGGCGCGGCGGCATGGGGGCGCCTAGGGATGATGGGACCCGGAGAGAACGGTGGGACCCAGAGGGAGATCTGGGGGGCCCTAGGATGGTGGGACCTAGCGGGCGTGGTAGGGTCCTGGAGGGGACAATGGGGACCTGGAGAAGATGTTGGCACTTGGAGAGGATGGGGACAGTGGGGACCTGGAGAGGATGGTGGGGTCGGGGAGGCGATGGTGGGGTCGGGGAGGGGATGGTGGGGTCGGGGAGGGGATGGTGGGGACCTGGAGGGGATGGTGGGGTCGGGGAGGGGACAGTGGGGACCTGGAGAGGATGGTGGGGTCGGGGAGGCGATGGTGGGGTCGGGGAGGGGATGGTGGGGTCGGGGAGGGGATGGTGGGGACCTGGAGGGGATGGTGGGGTCGGGGAGGGGATGGTGGGGACCTGGAGGGGATGGTGGGGTCGGGGAGGGGATGGTGGGACCTGGAGGGGATGGTGGGGTCGGAGAGGGGATGGTGGGACCTGGAGGGGATGGTGGGGTCGGGGAGGGGATGGTGGGGACCTGGAGGGGATGGTGGGGTCGGGGAGGGGATGGTGGGACCTGGAGGGGATGGTGGGGTCGGGGAGGGGATAGTGGAATCATGGAGGGGATGGTGGGGATCTGGAGGATACGGTGGGACCTTAAGGGGATGGTGGAGTCATGGAGGGGATGGTGGGACCTGGAGGGGACAGTGGGGACCTGGAGAGGATGGTGGGGTCGTGGAGGGGATGGTGGAGTCATGGAGGGGATGGTGGGACCTGGAGGATACGGTGGGACCTTAAGGGGATGGTGGAGTCGTGGAAGGGATGGTGGGGATCCGGAGGGGACTGGAGGGATCAGTGGTACCTGGATGGTACAGTGTGATCTAGAGAGGATGACTGAGACCTGGAGGAAAATATGGGGTAGCTGAAGGGGTCGGGGTGACCTAGATGGGAGAATGGGGCCCACAGGGGACCTGGAGGGTATGGCAGGGGGCCCCAGGGGATGACGGGTGTCTGGAGAAGATGGTGGGGAAGGAGGAAGGGTATGAAATGAAGGTGTGGTGGGAGTGTGGGTGGGGACTTGGGGCTTGGTACACATAAGCAGGGCTGAAGTCTGAGTACATCAGGGTGGTGACATGAGGAGTGTTTTGCCGAACTTGCAACTGGCGTCACCCCAAAAGTGGCAGCAAGGGAGTTCCCCACACTGTCCTCAGGTGGGACCAGTTGGGATTCCAAAGAAAGAAGTGCTAAATGCATGGGGAGCCCAGAGCAGTTTTTTGTTTTGTTTTGTTTTTCATCTTGGAGATGGTGTGCAGTGGCACCATCACAGCTCACTGCAGCCTCCACCTCCTGGGCTTGATCAGTTCTCCTGCCTCAGCCTCCCAAGTAGTTGGGACTACAGATATGAGCCACCACACCCAGCTGAGTTTTCTTTTCTTTTCTTTTTTTTCTTTTTCTTTTTTTGTAGAGACAGGGTATACAAAAACACAGACACAGGTCTCTGTGTTGCCCAGGTTGGTCTTGAACTTTTGGGCTCAAGTGATCCTCCTGCCTTGACCTCCCTAAGTGCTGGGCTTACAGGTGTGAGCCACTGCACCAGGCCCTGCCTAGAGCCTTTGTTAGCGGAACTTTCATACAGAGTTGGCTGCAGCACTCCTTGAGGTGGGCAGCAAGGGAAGAGGGATGTCCTACCTAGGTATGTGTCTGGCAAGGGGGCTGGGTTATGGAGTTTATAGGAAAGTTTCAGGAATTTGGCTCAGGGGCAAGATCATTTTGTTTGTAGATAGCTTCTTCCAGGCCTGGAAATGTTCAGGGCCCTGGATTGGGTTGAAGCCTGGTGGGAAAAACCTGTGGCTGGGGCACAGAGGCGTCGGGTTCTCCATGATTTTTGGCCAGGACATGAAAGTAGGGGGCCATGGGGCACTGTATGTGATGTATGTCTTGGTGTGCTGGAGAAATAAAAGACTTGAGAGCTCAAACCGACCTACATGGACACAGAGGGAAGGGAGCAGATTTATTGCCCCCGAAGCCTGGCAGGCTGTGTGCACGTAGGCGTTCTGCGACAGTGTGCAGAGTCTGGGCAGTTTCCCAGGCACCTTGACAGGGAGGCGGAAGGAGGAACAGTTAGAACTGCTCATCTCTCCCAGAGAATTGAGAGGCAGCTTTTGCTGGTTTGCACTCAGTGAGAGCCCTTTGATTTGGGTTCGGCGGTCTGATGACAGTCTAGGGGCTGGCAGGCCATGACTGTGTTTTGTGAAATCTGGACACTGGCCTGTCTCATCCCAGACCAAATGGAGGCATCCTAAGGGAGAGGGGGACACCTGCCATCCCTTTATGAAGCGATGGCAATGTTGTTTTATTTACTCTTATGAACGGGGATAAGGGAAGTTCTGGGAGTGCCGGGCCTCTGATCCTTGCTGGGGACTCTTTCCAAGGGGTGTGAGGTTTACCCAGGAGAACAGGGAGGATCAGAAGAGGGGAGGACTAGGAGGAAAATGAATTTTGGGAGTCGGAGTCCAGTGGAGGTGGGATTGGGGGCCATGGGGGCAGGGACAGGAGGTGGGAAGTTGCTCTGAGGATTGTGCGATTCAGTGTGTGCCGTGGCCCCTTCCTGGTAAGCCCCATGGTGACTTGTTTGGTCACAGTATGGAATTCTTTATTTGTTTTTTTTACACTAGAAAATGAGAATGTCTGGAGAAGTTACGATTGAGGAGAAAGAATCATCTCCAGTTCCATCCAGAGATGACCGTTTTTGTTTGATTTTTTTTGGACAAGAGTCTCACTCTGTTGCCCAGGCTGGAGTGCAATGGCATGATCTTGGCACACTGCAACCTCCGCCTTCTGGGTTCAAGCAATTCTCTTGCCTCAGCCTCCTGAGCAGCTAGGGTTGCAGGCGTGTGCCACCATGTCTGGCTAATTTTTGTATTTTTAGTAGAGATGGGGTTTCACCATGTTAGTCAGGCTGGTCTCAAACTCCTGACCTCATGATCCGCCCACCTCGGCCTCCCAAAGTGCTGGGACTACAGGCGTGAGCAACTGCACCTGGCCGAGATGATCTTTTTTTTTTTTTTTTTTTGAGACGGAGTTTCGCTCTTGTTACCCAGGCTGGAGTGCAATGGTGCGATCTCGGCTCACAGCAACCTCCGCCTCCTGGGTTCAGGCAATTCTCCTGCCTCAGCCTCCTGAGTAGCTGGGATTACAGGCGTGCGCCACCATGCCCAGCTAATTTTTTTGTATTTTTAGTAGAGACGGGGTTTCACCATGTTGGCCAGGATGGTCTCGATCTCTTGACCTCGTGATCCACCCGCCTCGGCCTCCCAAAGTGCTGGGATTACAGGCGTGAGCCACCACGCCCGGCCGAGATGATCGTTTTTTATTTCCTGGTGTAGAGCTGGCTTTTCTACGTTCCTTCACACGTGCATTCATTCATTCATTCATTCATTCTCTCTCTTTGCTCTTCTCTCCCCCTAGTCCTTATCTAAATGTTCATGCACACATGCGAGTGCACACACACACACACACACACAGTCTCTTTCTCCATCTTGTGTAATATACATATTTGAACTTTTGCTGGTTTTAGTCTTTTTTTAAAAATTTAACCATATGCTCTAACAGCTTGCCACACACTGACCTCAGTATTGACAGTGAGTTGACCTTGCCATGTATTGTTCCTTAACTGCCAGTAGTCATTTGATTTTGGTTGTGCCACATGCAGATCACAGGAGGTCAATGGGGAAGATGCGGGGAGCAGAATGTTTGTAATTGTCCCGAGATCTTGGAATATGGTTCCAAGTTTGCCTCATGGGGAAACTGAAATTCAGCTGGGCATTGCCTGGGAGAAGTTCCTGAAGCCCCATGGTTGAGCCTCAGTTTCCTTAGAAAGGGGCATTTGGGCCAGCAGGTCCACAGCTCCCCCAGATCACTGAGCCCCTAGGACTTGGTGGGAGATGGAGGTCTCGTTCTTGAGATGGAACTCTGTGCTTTAGTTCCCTGGTCCACAGGTGCCCCCTGGGGTTAGTGTCACCACTGTGTACACAGGAGGCCTGGAGCGTCATCTGCTCTGATGGAACTGGAACACAGGCTTGTGTCACCCAGAGGCCTCCTAGATCAGCCCTGGCATCGCTTGGGAATGGCAAGAAATGCACATTCTTAAGCCCCATACAGCACTCCATCAGGGTGGTTTTTTGTTTTTAAGACAGGGTCTTGCTCTGTCGCTCAGGTTGGAGTGCAGTAGTGCAATCTTGGCACACTGCAACCTCTGCCTTCTGCACTGAAGTGATCCTCCCACCTCAGCCTCCCAGAATGCTGAGATTACAGGTGTGAGGCACTGTGCTTGGCCAGGATGGGGTTTTAAGTCGGCACTTTGGAGACATGCAGTTTGCACTGTGCAGAACATGTGCTCCTCTGTCACTGTGTTGCATGCAGACAGCCCCGGTGGGCGTGTCTGCACCTTGTGGCTAGAGCTGGGAACATCTGAGGGAGTGGAAAGAGGGTCTGGGGAGCAGGGGAGGGGAGCCTGGAAAGATTGGCCTCACCCTGCCGCCCCCGTGGGCACACACAGCCACCACTGTCCTCACTGAGCTTCTCAATCGCAAGGTAGTGGAAGGTGTGCAAGATGTTTGTTCTATGACTGTGGAAATTAACTAAAAATAAGTTGTTTACTGGGTACTGAGCCTCACTCAGGGGACCCTTGAGTGATGGAAATGGTGAAAGAGACCCATTGTACAGATCGCCCTGTGTGCTTCAGACTTCCTCCCCAAGAGCGTCACTTGTGTGGGTTGGCTGCAGACACCTGTGGGCCCCTGGCCATGACCTCCCTCGAGGATTGAGCTGTGTGTTCTCAGGGTCAGCGTAGGTCCCCAGGCCCACACCTGCACTGGAGGAGACAGATTGCAGATTGCAGCAGGCAGGGACCCCGTGAGGGCTCCAGGACTCAGCACTGGTTGCAGAACTATGTGGTACAGGAGGGCATGGGCACGGCCCTGCTTCCATGTGGCACAGTCATGGTCCACTCAGCACAAATTCATTGGGTGCCCATGGTGTGTAGGCCTTGTGGCCCTCCCATGACAGAAGGTGCCTTCTGTAGTGGGACAGTTGTGAAAGCACCAGCTCTCTGGAGTTTTGCTGGGGCCTTGGTTGGTGACAGTGCATGAGGAGGACAAGGAAGCCCTCTGAACAGAGACCTGAGGAGTGGAGCTGCCAGTGTGAATCCCTGTCATGGAAAGCCTGCTGGGAGAAGAGGGCAGAGGGCGACCAGGGCGGGGAGGTCGCAAGTCCTGCAGAGCCCATTAGGCTGAGGTGGGGAACTTGGATCTCATTCCCGGTATGCAGGGAAAGGCTCTGGGCAGAGGAGTGACATTTTCTGATTCTGTTCAATGGCTGTCTCATTGGCTGCTGGAGGAGAATGGGTGGTGGGGACAGGATGAGGTCAGGAGGTTGCCTGAGAGGTTGTCCAGGTGTGGAGGGAGGAAGGACTGCCTTGGATAGTGGAACTGCTGAGAGTAAATAAAACCGTTTCCCGGAGATTGAGTCTCACTCAGGGGCACATGTATGCTGGAAAGACTGAAAGAGACCCATTGTACAGATCGCAGTGTGTGAGGAGTGAGTCCCTGAGACTGCGATTCCTTCCCCAAGGGTGGTGTTTGTGCTTCCCCAGACAATGCCTGTGCCAGGACAGTGGTGTGGCCTTGGGGTGGAGGGTGGGGACACAGCTGTCAGAACATGCTGATGGTATGTTTGTGGGGAGGCGGAAGAGAGGAGTCAGAACTCCTGGGTCTGTGGCACCTTTACTGAGAGAGGAACTGATGCTGGGGGTGTGAAACTGGGGTGCCCATTAGGGGTGGGGCAGATGCCCAGCAGGTGGCAGGAAAGGAGCTGGTGGAGGGGCTGTGACGTTGGGGTTCCCATTAGGGGTGGGGGTAGATCAGCAGGTGATCAGATGCTCGAGTTTGAAGTGTGAGGGGGTCTGGCTGGAGCGGGTGTTTGGGAGGCAGCGGCTTGGGGGTGATGTTGAGTTTCTGGCCTGTGTTGTCTCACCTGGGAAGAGAGGGTACAAAGAATACAGGTTGTGCCCTGTGCAGTCCAGCGCACAAGGGGGCTATGCCAAGGAGAGTGGTCGTAGGCTCTCAGAGAAGTGGGGCTGGAGACCTGGAGAGGGTCGTGGCCAGGGAACCAGGGTGCAGTGACTCTCAGCAGGGCGCCTCGGCCCACGGCCAGGTCTAACTAACGTTTTTGTAAGTGAGGTCCTGTGGGGCAGTGGACCCCGTGTCAGTGCCTTGTGGCCGCTTTCCCTCCACCCTGGCAGAGCTGCGTAGTTGTGGCGGAGATCGTGTGTGGTCCTTCATGGAGAATGTGCAGTGCCTGGCGTGGGAAGGCCAGGGAGGTCTCGGGGCTGAGAGAGAGGGTGGGATCAGGGCCCCTGGAGGAGGGTCTGGCCTTGGAGGTGAGGAGGGCTTGTGTTCTCCCGTGGCCTCCGTGTGGGGCCAGGCATGTCACTTGCCGGGGGAATGGCTGTCCCTCGTGGGGGCCGTGTCCGAGATTGGGCTGCTTCTGATTTTCCGTGGGGTGTCCTTGCTTCCGTCCACGTACTTCATCTCTGTTTACTTAGGTTTTCTGGGAAAGAAGCCCTGGAAACCTGCACCTGGAAAAGTGTGGTCACAAGCTTCTCCTCTGGCTTCTTCCTGGGTTGTTGGCAACGTGAATACTTTTTTATATTTGTTGTTTAAAATGTGATAACGAGAAGAGCCTGGGGTCTCCGTGTCCTCATTTCTCGGTCCTTTCCCAATTCTTGCTTGCTTTTTTTTTTTTTTGAGGCAGAGTCTCATTCTGTCACCAGGCGACAGGCTGGAGTGCAGAGGTGCTGTCTCGGCTCACCGCAACCTCCGCCTCCCGAGTTCAAGCAATTCTCCTGCCTCAGCCTCCCGAGTAGCTGGGACTGCAGGTGCGCGCCACCATGCCCAGCTAATTTTTGTATTTTTAGTAGAGACGGGGTTTCACCATGTTGGCCAGGATGGTCTCGATTTCTTGACCTTGTGATCCGCCCACCTCGGCTTCCCACAGTGCTGGGATTACAGGCTTGAGCCACCGCGGCCGGCCCCTTTTTTCTTTCTTTTAAAGAGACAGAATTTCACTCTGTTGCCCAGGCTGGAGTGCGGTGGTTCAATCATAACTCACTGCAGCCTCAACCTCCCAGGCTCAGTGATCCTCCCGCCTCAGCCTCCTGAGTAGCTGCGACCACAGCACGCTCAGCTTTCTTTTTGAATTCAGAACATTTTAGAGCTGGTGACCTTAGGGCTTTTAGTTATTTTAGTGGTGGGTAAACAGGTCCAAAAGGTGAGGTGATCTTTCCAGAGCTGTAAACTGTGCTGTAACACCAGTCACAGGACTTCTCCAGAGAGGTTGTGCGTAATTTCACTCCACGCTCCTGGAATACCAGCCATGCCTGCTTAGCGATGGTTAGCACACCTTCACTGTCCATGCCGTGTCTGCTCTCTGTGGAGGTCGTGGTGGTGAGGGGTGGTTCCTCCCCTCGAAGGCCAGCTGTGGCTGAGGTCTGCGCAGTCTCTCCAGCTGGGAGCCCAACACAGCAACTCAGGGCTGAGCAAGGAGGGCTGCGGTCCCTCCTGTAGCTGTGGGCTTGCCTGACTTTGAGAACCAGGGCTGAGTTGGTGTAGTTTATCCTCCTCATTCTGAGAAGCAGACGCCTTTGTGTCTCTGTAGTCCGCGGCCTGCTGGGTGACCTCGAAGTTGTTGTGGCAGAAGAGCATCCATCATGGGTCCTCTGTACGGCATGCTGGGCCCTTGCCATGGCCTTGGTGGGGAGTGGGTGTGTGGCCCACTGGGCCCTGGCTGTGGTGCTGGGGGTGTAGCTAGGTTGGCCGTGGTACCCTCCATGTGCTGAGTGCTGTGCCCCAGAGGGAGGGTGGTTGTGGGCTGGTGTGGGAGAAGCTGGGTGGGGGCTCTTCCCTTGGCCACATGGGCAGGCTGTGGATTGGGGAGACTAGTCAGGCAGCCCCCACAGTCCAGCCACACCTCCTTCCCTGTGGTCTGCGTGTGACAACACATGGTGTGTTCTCTGATTTCTGTGTCCTCATAGAATGAGGGTCCCATTTCAAGCGCAGGTGCAGCGTTTCCATGTGTCTCGTCCAGCCCAGTGTTGCGGGACTTGGTGTCTTGTGCAGCAATTACAGGGAAGACCTGGCTCCTGCGAGTACAACCGTGGTGAGCTGCAGGAGCCAGGGGCTGGATCAGGACGGCTGGTGCCCAGCAGGGCATTTGGCACATGGTGGGACTCATGAACATGTTGCCAGAATGTGGAGCCCCCACAGCCTCTCTCCGTGCTGTGGAAATCCCACACTTTTCAGTATCTGAAGGGCTTACACTGGCTGGCTGTCCTGGTTGTGTAAGTGAAGCCATGTTGCAGTGAAATTCGTGAGAGAGAAGTGGGACAAGTGCCGCCCTCCCTGCGGTCCCCTCTCTGCTGTCAGAACCTTGGCGAGGCGTCCCCGGCCTGGCTCTGGCCTGGCGGAGTCCCGCGCTGGTGCCTGGATCTCGCACAAGGCCCCCGTGTTTTCTTAACCTTACCTTATCTGTACGGCGAGAGGGTTGGGCTGCGTGTTCCATGAGGGTTCGTTCAAATCTGTCATCCATGACTTTCCAGACTGCACTGATAAACGTAGATGTGAAAACGTGGTAGGACCTGCATCTGTGTAAAACTGTGTACACACAGTCAGCTAATACACATGCGTGTTACCAGTCAGTTCTGTAGAGTGCTGTGAGGTTAGCTGGGGTTAGGAGAAGGGGAAACGCTTGTCTGTAGGATTGTTTCTCTGTGCAGTGAAGTCGATGAATGGCAGTTTCCAAAGGGGAATGTGCATCTCGAGGGAACATCACGGCCAAAAGACAGCACTTCTTGGAACAGTCTGAGAGTAAGGCCTGGGACTGAGGTCCGAGGCCCAGAGCCCTGGCAACATCTCCAGCGATGCCCTCCTCAGGTCTCATCTGGCAGTGGATGCTGATCCAAGCAGGGTGGCTTTGCTGGGTGCAGGGGCACAGAGGGGTGAGGGGGATGACGGTGCGAACCCTCTGCTTGGGGGGTGGGCATTAGTCTGGGGCTCAGCGTCCTGGTTGTAAACCAGCTGCTTCTCCTTCACCAGCTAAGAGGGCACATGAGCTTCGTCCTGCAGCCACAGGTGGGTAGAGTCAGCCGTGTGCTGCAGCCTGTGTGAGCCCAGAGCGGCAAGGGAGGTGGCATCCTTGCGGGGTTGCTTGTGTCTCCAGTCCATGGATGACGGCACAGTGTCACTGTCTCTTCTCCTTCAGAGGCAGAAGAGGCCTGGACCTCGGCGCGGGCAGACCCAGGAACAGATGAGCAGGGATGTCTGCATCCACACCTGGCCGTGTACCTACTACCTGGAGCCAGAGAGGCGATGGGTTACTGGCCAGCTGTCCTTGACGTCGCTGTCACTCAGGTTCGTAACTGACAGCACCGGCGAGACTCTGGTCAGCTTCCCCCTCTCCAGCATAGTCGAGATCAAGAAGGAGGCCTCCCATTTTATCTTCAGCTCCATCACCGTTCTGGAGAAGGGCCATGCCAAGCACTGGTTCAGCTCCCTGCGGCCGAGTCGAAATGTGGTCTTCAGCATCATCGAGCATTTCTGGAGGGAGCTGCTGCTGTCTCAGCCTGTGGCAGACGCGTCTGCCTCCAGGGACCCGGGGCAAGGAGCTGACGGGACTCATGGCCGGATCTCAGAAGCGCCTGGAGGACACAGCAAGGGTCCTGCACCACCAGGGCCAGCAGCTGGATGGCGTCATGAGAGGCCTGGACAAGATGGAGTCAGACCTGGAGGTGGCAGACAGGTGGGCTTGCTGTGCACACTTTGCAGGGCACACACAGAGTAAGGCGTACTTGTGCGGAGGCTCACCGTGCCGGGCACCGCCGGGCCATGGCACAGTATCTGTGCACACCCAGCGCCCTGAGAGCACGGCTCTGCGGTGCTGCACGCGCTCAGTGGGTACGCACAGTGAGATCCGGCACTCGGAGAGCGAGGCTGTGAATGCACTGTGTCCTCTGCTGGAAACACACAGTGAGGTCTGAGTGAGTGCTGGCTTGCTGGGTGCCAGGCGCCCCTGCTGTCCGCTGCACCGTGCCGAGTCCGCACCCAGCAAGCAGAGACCGTGCTGGGACCTTCTTGTGCACTGCTCTGCTTCTGGCTCCTCTGTGGTGATGCGGACAGGCCCTGGCCTCCGAGGTCACAGAGAGGGGACGGAGGTCTGCTTGGTGATGGCCTCCGAGTGAGGTGCCTCCTGTCAGTGCCTGCTGTTTGTTCATGAGCTGTGTTCTTCCATTTCTTGGTATGAAAGTCATAGTATATTTCCAGACAATTTCTTCAGTTTGTTTAAAAGTTATTTTCTTATTCCAAGTCCCCTTTTGTGCTTTCTGAGTCCTGCCGTCTTCTGTCTGGTTATTCATTTCTTGTTTGGCTTTCTTCTTGTGTTGCTATTCTAGGGAATGTTTCTGGTCTTTATCTTCCTATCATTTATCATTTGTACTTGCAGTTTCTTAGAACTCATGGGTTCCTCTGGTTTCCTGGAAAAACCTTCGGGTCTTGCGTCATGGCCTGAGTGTCTTCTCTGTTTGGATATTGGTTTGCTTATGGTTTCTGATTTTTCAAGGGGCTTATTTATTGCCTGTTTTTTTTTTTTGTTGAAGTCATTTTTTCCTGAGATGGTGTGTGTGGGGCTGAGGTATCAGCCCTGAGCTCTTTACTGGGACCCTCGGTTCCTCATCCTGGGGTCCCCTGTCTGGAGTGTGAGTCTTGAGGGGCTGCGTTCTGGCTCAGGCAGAAGGTTCACTGCCTCTGCCCTCGGGTTCCCTCCAGTCCCTCTTCTAGGACCGGGGGTTGCCCACTTGGGTGGGTCCATCTGGGAGCGGAGGGTCTCCAGTGCAGTGTCACGTGGACTCGTGCCTGCGTGTTCCTGGTTCTTCCTGCCCCTGCTGGGAGGGTGCTGTTACCACCTCCTCATCACCCCCTAGGGCTCTGGTGTCCTAATCGCGTTGTCTCTCAGCACCTGCTGCTGGCGCACCATTCACCTTCCTGGGTTTGCCAAGTCTGCCTGCTTTTCAGTGTCAGGCTGCCACTGTGTTTGTCTTTGGGGAAGTGTGTGTTGAGTTCTTCTCTGTTGCTCTCTGCCCCTTTTTTAAGGGAACGTCCTGGAGATGGAGATATATATATATATATATATATATAGAGAGAGAGAGAGAGAGAGAGAGAGAGAGAGTGTGTATCTGCGTCTGTGTGTGTCTGTATATTGTCTGTGTTTCTGTTTGTGTGTATACGTGTCCATGTGTGTTTGTATGTGTTGTCTGTGTGTGTGCTTCAGTACACATAGCTCAGGTTTTTGCATGCTTTCAGTTATTTCTTGAAAAATCATTTTGAAGCGTGTTGTTTCTCATTTTGTGATTATTCAGAGGACAGTGAGAACTTCCTCCCAACACCTACGGCTGCAGCGCGCAGGCAGAACCTCTGTTTCCCTGGAACCCTCCCTGGGCACTGGCCCCTGTCCCTCAGCCCTAAGCTGGAGTCCTGTTGGTGCATTGGTGTTGCATGCGGGTTCATGGGACTCAGGTCGCATCTTCTCCTTGACTAAAAGGAGATCCTTTCAGTCAAAGAGATTGGCTGGCACAAGGATGGAGCTGGGAGATGACAGAGCCCTGACAACCCCAGCTCCTCTGCGTAGCTGACAGGTGTGTGTTCTGCCCTGCCTAGTCTGCAGGGGGCAGCTGGAGCCCCAGGGGCAGTCACAGCCCCAAGGCTGTGGCTCTGTTGCTCGGGTCAGTCCGTTTTCTGTTAAGGCCTTCAGTAGGTTGCACGGGGCCTGCCTGCATTACGGGCACAGCTGCTTTTTTGGGAGTCTGCCGATTTTGATTTAATCTCGTGGACACACAGCATCACAGACTTGCAGAGTAGTGCTTGACGACTGGGCCTCGTGGCCCCGCTGCATGGACACTAATATGACTATCTTGGCCTCCGGGAGGCACATGCCCTGGCGAGCTGGCACTGGCCCTCTGCCCTCCAGCCTGTGGGGTTCTGGAGCCCTCCCCATGGTGCCTCTGTCCTGGCTTACTGCCGAGAGGTGTCCCTGGGCTGGACCCTGAGGGCATCTGCAGGGGGAGGTGTGGGGACAGCACAGAGCACGGGCCCCAGCCCTGGGTGTGGGCCACGTGGTCCTAGAGGGGAGGATTACATTGCGGCTTTCCCTGCTTCCTGCAGTATCGTCCTGCTCCCACTCACAGACAAAGCAAACGCTGCGGAGGAGCATCTTCGCCTGTGCCCAGCCGAGCTTCCGCCTTGCCGCCTGGCATTGGCACTGGTATTGTGTGTGCGGAGATAGCGTAGAGAGATGGGAGGAGGCTGCCAAGGCACGTGTTAGCCACCGCATGGACCCACAGCCCCTGCGTTTGCTGTCGACTCCTGCTGGGAAACGAGCCTGGCACCCAGCAGTGGGCCTCTCCCTTCTTCTAGAAATGGAGTAGGTGACCCAAAGACAGGCTGAGCCAGAGAAGCAGAGTTCCACCCAGGGTGCCGGCATCTGACCCAGCACCTGGGCCCCTTCAGGGCCCCCTGACCACTGTGGTCCTGGTTCAGCCAGGACCTGTGTGGTGAGGAACAGCCGGCGCTGTGCTGCCCACTCTCGTGGGACAGACCCTCCCGTGTTCACCTGCCTGGTCCTGTGCTGCCACATCTCTCTCCTGCTCAGCAGCTGCCTCCCAGGAGCAGCCTACCACACTGGCCCACCGCTCATCCCACCCTGTCCTGGCCACCGCAGGCCCCACCGCCGGCCAGGCGTGCTCCCAGCTGGTCCTCTGCACCCCCGTCCTTGCGTGCAAAGAGCAAAGTGAGGCCCTGTGCCTGCCTGCGTTTTTGCCAGTTCCTTCCTAGTGATGGTACTCAGAGCCCTTTCCCACCAGGCAGGAGGACTGAAGTTGTCAGCCCGGCGGGACCGCAGGTCACCGTGTCCACGACCACCTGGCCTTTGCCCACACCGTTCTCTCCAAGTGTGGGCAGCTTTGGTGCCTTCCCCAGGCCCATGGGCAGGGCTCCCAGCCTCCAGGACCTGCAAGAAACAGAACAAACACAAGAAAAAGACAAATCTGACTTAGGATTTTGAAAAGCAGGTCAGAAAAACAGTGTAAAGGAATGGGGCCAATTACATAAAGACTTTGTTTTTAGGTATAATTATTTTTTCCAGCTTTATTGAGGTACTGCTGACAAAAACTGTGTGTGTTTGAGGCACGGGGCTTGGTGATGCAGTGTTTGTACCCAGCATTCGTGTCTGTGAACATGCCTCTCAGCTCACATACCTGTCATTTTGTTTGTTTTTCTTTTTCTCCTTGAGAATGTTGAGAACACCTAAGATGTGTGTTCTTGGCAGATTTCAAGTGTACTGATAGTATGGAGAGCTGCACCCACCATGTCATTACTGCCCAGAGCTCGTTCATCCCGTAACGGAGGCTGGTGGCCTTGGCCACCCTCTCCCCGCTTCCCCACCCACCCCGCACCTGGCCTTCTCTCTGCTTCTGCGAGTTTGGCTCCTTTAGGTCCCACATGTGTCACGCACGGTTTGTCTCTGTGTCTGACACCTTCCACTCAGCATAACGTGCTCCAGGTCTGTCCATCTTGGTGAAATGGCAGGATTTCCTTCTTTTTTATGGCTGAATAAAATTCCATGGCGTATAGACACTGTATTTTTGTACCCGAACCCAAGTCTCAGCCACTCATTGCTTGAAAGCCAAAACTCAGGAGATGAGCTTTGTGCAAGGAAAGTTAGCTTTATTAAGGAAGGCAGTGACCTCGGGGTTGTGGACTCACTTCCAAAGATCACCTCCCTGAGTTGTGGCCCCAGGTCAGGGCTTTTTAACAGAGATGAGGGGAAAGCATCCTTGTGAAACTTGCAGAGTCTCGGGTGGGCAGTTAATCCTGCTTTCTTGGTCAGTGCTTTGTGGCCTTCCGCAGGCGCCATCAGCCTATTCTTACCAGGCTGGTCAGCCCGTTCCCGGAGCGGTGGAGTCCCAGAGTGGGTTGTTGGTTCCCAGAGTTGTTGTTTGGTGTATTTCCTTATATTTCTGATGAAGGTCCTGTTTTCCCGAGGCATTTTAAATGAATAATCTACAGGTTAATGATCTACAGAGTATTCATTAAAAATGAATGATAATCTAATCTAATAATCTAACCTTCAAGTGAAGCAATAGTTACATTCAAGTAAACAAGCTTTTCTCTTACTTGGAGTCAGGACCGTTCCACTTTCTCTCTCCTTTGGCCTGCGGCTGGACACTGACGTGGTTTCCATGCCTTGGCCATAGTGACGCATGCTGCAGTGAACATGGGGGTGCTAGAGTCGCTTTGAGACACTGATTTATTTCCTTCGGGATTGTGGAGGCTGAAGCAACTCCATCGTGGATACTAACCGGCCTTGCTAACATCTGATGAACTCTAGTTCTGGGAATGCTCTAAGATGCCCCCCTCACCTGTCATTCCTTGTCTAAGAGCAGGCACATACCACACACCCTATTCTTAGGTTCACGGGGCATTCTTTTCCTGCGGGGCCTGGCCTACACATATGTCCCCTGTGGTGCAGGACCATGGTGTGGGATCCCCTGCCTCATCTCATTGCTGCCTGAGACACAGACCTGCCTTCTGTCCCTAAGTCACTCTTAGATGCTTCCTTCTGAGAAGTGGGGTCCGTCAGCCTCTTTCTGCAGCCTCTCAGCTTCCTCATGTCAGGGGCAGGTTTATGTAGGCCTGCCCACCACGGAGCAGCTGTAACCCACAAACAGGATTGTGGAGTCATGGTGGTTC